AACATGGTGAAACTCTGTCTCTACTAAAAGCACAAAAATTGCCAGGATGGTGGGCACGTACCTATAATCCCAGCTACTCGGAGGGCTGAGTCGGGAGAATCCCTTGAACGGGAGGTGTTGTTGCAGTAGCTGAGATCCAGTCATTGCACTCCAACCTGGGCCGACAAGAAACAACTCCACCCCCCCCCCCAAAAAAAAAACTATCTTTCTACTCTAGCATAACTATTTTCATTTTTTAAAATATATTCCTTTCCAAATCCCACATTTGTGTGTGTATATGTAGATATACATACATTTGTATATGCTTTTATGTATGCATATATCCATAAATGTATATTTATAGCTATGTATATTACATACATATACACATGTATATAGATATATAGACATATATACACATACACACATATATATAGGTATACTGTCTTACCTATGATTTTCAATGCATGTAAACTATTCATTGTGTGGACATACCATAACTTCTTAAAGCAGTAGTTATTCAACTATGGTTGGTCCAAAACTAGAGATTTGCAAGGAGAAACTCTAGCATCACCAAGGAGAAGACAAGAAGTCATGGGTAGGCTGTAGGCTGCAGTTAGGACTCCAGAATCCTCACTTTAACCAGAGCAGTTGTACTTTTTTCATGAGTTTTAACTATCTACTTCTAGAACAAAGGATTTCTGTGCTTAATATTAAAAAGTTTGAAAAATGCTGATCTAAACCATCCTCTTGTTATTGGACATAGTGTTTTCCAGAGTTTTAAAAAATTATAGTATATTACACAGTAACATCTTAGTACACGTAGTGTAGTATGTATGTGTGTGAGACTATAGACTCTTTCTTTCTTAAAAAATCCCAGGAGGATAGAGCATTCATTGAACAAGTCTGACGTCTATATGATGCTTACGATATAGCTCTGCATTGCTCACCAAGACAGTGGAGATGGTGTACAATGTCACCAGGGGATAAGAACAACTTGTTTGATCACAACTTTTCTAGCATTATGTTTTGCCATTAAAGGGGAGAGGGGTAGCAAATGTTCTTACAACCCTCACTGACACCAGGTAGTGGGCCGGTAGTTCTGATCATTAGAGCAAACCTGGATTGGCCTCTGATGGTGACCACACCATGTCAGTGGGTCACAGTGGGTCAGTGCCACATCAGGATCTTTGTTTGAGGCTGTAAGTCTGAGTAAAACTTAGCTAACAAGGCCCGAAAGCCCAAAATTGAAACCTTCTGGAAGGCTAGGAGTTCAGAGCAGTTCAGCTTCTGTTTGTGGTGATGGTGAGCTGCTGTTCATAATCAGTAGAAAACCTTCTTTGAAGTAGCAGTGATAACAAGAAACCCTAATGAGTTACAAAGGAATGTCTGAATCATTCTCTTTTCTTAGTGGTTTCTCAAAGCTTCTGCTAAAGCAGACTCACTGATCCCAGGGAAGACAGAATGACATCCTAATAATGGGCCTAATGCATGCAAAGTACACAAAATAGGCATTTTTTTTGTTATTCCCTTAAATGCCCCCTGTAATGAAGAGCCATGAAGCTGGTAGGACTGTGAAGGCAGGCAAAATATCTGGTGAATCTTGCCTTTGATGAGAAAGAAAGGGAAGAAAGCTGGCATGTTTTAGTTGCCTAGGTGCCAGGTAATTTCACATAAGGTATAAAAAAAAATATCAGCCATCCCTGGGCACGTGCTGTGTTCCAGGAGCATCAGAGAGAAAACTCCCAGGAGACATGTTGAGAGGCAGGAATGATAGGGGCGCACAAATGTTCAACAGTGGCTAGAATTTGTTTTAATTGAAAAGATGGCAGATTTTTATTCTAAAGAATATTTTGAAATAGGAAAAAAATTAAGACTATCCACTCCAGTGTAACTATTTTCATTTTTTTTTTTTTAATGAAATGTTTTGGGAAATCATTACAACCTGTACGTCCACATAGGTTCCGTTACTTCCATTTGTAAATATGAGCAAATTAAGGCTCAGAGGCCTTTGGTGGCCTAGCCTACCCAAGGCCATGTAGCCAGTAAATAAATGGTAGATTATAAAGTTAGAATTCAGGCTCCAGTCTGCCTGACCCTCTGTGCACCTCACTGAGTCTTTTTCTCATCTAGTGAGAAAACTACAACCCAGTGTGACCCAGCCTTCTCTGGTGTAAATGGCTTGACTTTAACATGACTCAGCAGCTTTGGCAGCACCCTGGCTCAGTAACATCCCGTCCCAGCTGTTCCTTAAAGGGCATTGCCTACAGTGACCATAGTGACACTCACGGAAGTAACATAGCCCTTTGAATGTCTCTCTCATGCCTTCTTCCAAGGATCTTAAAACCCTGAACCAAGGAAGAGACCTAGTGTTCCTGACTCAGAGTTTATTTATTAAGGGCCTGCTTTGTGTACAATCTTGAGACAAGTGTAGTAGTGATAATCCAAAGTTCATGGTTAAGTGGGAAGGGAAAAGGAGTGCAGAGCAGACATGCTTATGGTGATTGGAGTGGAGTGGGCAGGGACATGGGACTGGGCGAGAGCTGATCTGAGCTCAGAACTCAGCAGTTGTCAGGGTCCTGATGGGAACCTGGGATTAGAGAGGTGCTACATTGGAAATGTGGCAATAATAGACCCAAGAAGGAGCCCCATGGGACCTGGCAAAGAACTGAGGGAGCCAGGCATGGTGGCACATCCCTGTAGTCCCAGCTACTCCACAAAGGCCAAGGCGGGAGGATTGCTTGAGCCTAGGAGTTCAAGGCTGCAGTGAGCTAGGATTGTGCCACTGCACTCCAGCCTAAGCAACAGAGCAAGACCCTGCTTCAAAAGTAAGAAAGATTTGAGGGGGCCCAGAGTGAGGCCTGTGATGACCACAGGTGTCCCCTGACCCTCAGGCATGGTATAAAGGGACATTGGGTGGATATATTAGGCTGCTCATGTATTGCCATTAAGAAAGGCATGAGGCTGGGTAATTTATAAATAAAAGAGGTTTAATTGGCCAGCATCTGTGTGGCTTCTAGGGAGGCCTCAGGGACCTGTAACTCATGGCAGAAGGCAAAGTGGGAACAGGCACTTAATATGGCAAAAGCAGGAGCAAGAGAGAGAGTGGGCGGCGGGAAGGTGCCATATACTTTTCAACCACCAAATCACATGTGAGAGTACAAGTGTACTTATCACCAAGGGGATGGCACTAAGCCATTCATGAGGGATCCACCCCCACAATCCAAATACCTCCCACCAGGCCCCATCTCCAACACTGGGGATTACATTTCAGCATGAGATTTGGGCAGGGACAAATATCCAAACTCTACCAGTGGGGTACTGCTACACTTTGAACATCTGCTTATATTGCCTAGAACCTAGAAGAAGATACTGTAATTTTTCAATCTTCTTTCATTTCAGCTGTTCATGCCAAGAGCCTGGTGGCCATCTTACACCTGCTCGTCGCTCTGTCTCAGTATTTCCGGGCACCAATTCGACTCCCAGACCATGTTTCCATCCAAGTGGTTGTGGTCCAGGTAAGACAGATAACACTACAAACATCTGTGTCTTTAAAGAGTCGTAGAGGTGGAGTTCCTGTGGTGCGTCGAGTAGGTCATTAGAAGGATGGCTGCATGAAGGCTGAGTGAGCCTGGGTGTGCAGTATATTGGGAGGCACTGAGTGAGCTTTCTGTTGCGTGTTGGCTTCCCCTGGTAAGTGTATACAAGATGGAAGAGCGTGTGCTTGTGTATAGATAGCTTTGTGTGGGGTATGTGCCTATGGCTTATGTGTTTTTGTCTGTGAGTTTCCTGTGTAACGTGTAGTTGAGGGTGTGTGGTATGTATGTGTGCTGTGTGTCATGGGGTCAGGAGGAAAGTGTGTGTGTGTGTGTGTGTGTGTACAGGAGTGTACAGGTGCCCTGCAAATCATGGAGAATCATACTATTTTGGTTAAACAAATGATACTTAGGTATAGGGAGAAAGATATCTGTGCATATGAGGGAGTGTGTGTACATATGCATGTGTTTGAGAGAGACCCCAACTGGTCATGTCTGTATTGAAGGCACTGCCACTTTTCACCCACCCACAGAAGCACAGCTGGGATCTCAAGTCATCTTTTCCAGATTGTTGGATGGAATTTCCATTCACATATGGCTGTGTAATTTCCACAATGAGGGTGTGCTCTCTCCCTGTGACTATCTCACTCTGCTCCTAACCCCATTAAATACCCAAATTCAATTTTATTTTCCAACTTTATACCCATTTAGCAAAAGGTCATCCTTTTGTTTGCTTGTTTCTGTTCTTTTCCAAATAAACATGCAGCGAGGGAGAGTGCTCCATCTAAGCAGCTCCCTGGCGATCCAGGCTCTGGAATAGGGAATGATAACAGTGGCTGTGCCATCCCTTGGTGAGAAAAAGCCTTGAGGGCTAGTAGACTTTGCCCGATCAGATCAGGCCAGATTAACGGATTTGTTTCTTCCACACCTCTGGGTACTTAACTCCACTAAGCATCAAGAAGGTATAACAGGAATATGACACCTCGGCCCTGCCTGCTGAGGAGATAGGACTACAAATAAGAAGCAGAGAGGGCTCATAGAAAATGGGAATATGTGTGGCTCAGATACTGACTGCCACTGGCCAAAAGGTCCTAATTGTCCTTGTTATTGAGCTCTTCAGTTGTATCAAACATGGCACTAAGCATTTTATGTCTGCTATGGATATGTGGCCAACTCAGAGTACTCTGGTTCAAGCATCTTCCTAGCGAGTCCAGGTCATCTCTATCGTGTTATTTTTACCAATCAGTAATGCATGAATACAATTCTTTATGTTTTTAAGAAGTACAATTAGGGAGGCAGGGATGAATAGGTGAACATGGTCCCTATAGGTGGGAGCACAGAGAGTTTTAGGTACATGTCACTGTACATTTGTCAAAACCAATAGAATGGATAGCACCAAGAGTGAACCCTAATGTCAACTATAGACTTTGGGTGATAGTGACAACCGTATCAATTATAAGCTCATCAGTTGTTAAAAGTGTATCATTCTGGTGTAGGATGTTGAAAATGGGTGAGGCCATGTATATGTCAGGGCAGGGAATATATAGGAAATGTCTGTACCTTCCTCTCAATTTTGCTGTGAACCTCAGACTGCTCTGGAAAATATAGTCTTTTTTTTTTTTTAATCAGGGTTCCTGGAACAGTTCATGAAAGAATACTTTAAAAGTGACCATATATCACTAACATTGAAATTAAAAAAAATTATTTTCATAAGTAAACATACTGTTGTTATATTCATTTATACTAGCTCTCTTATCACTAGAGGAGATAAATACTTTTATTTAAATTGCCCTTCTTTATCTTCTCTTTTGTGACAAATCCAGTCCAGTTCTTTGTGCATAAATTTGTTGAACATCTTAAGACTTTTCTTATCTGCTAGAATAAACAGCCTCTAACAGAAATAATAAAATCTGCCTGTTGGAATTACTACAGACTGAACAACAACTGAAAATGTGAGCAGGAGAGAGGGCGCTTCTATTTTGAAACAGTGGTCATTGCAAGCCTTGTCTTCTGCCTTATTTTGAGCACAATTATAGGCCATCAGAAGGCTGTTGTCGTTTTAATTTCTCTTGTAGGCTGTTTTGTTAGCATGAGGGAGAAAAGAGGACATGTTCCATAAAATGGCATTAATGCACGTCAGGTTTTATGGGGTGTTTTTGCTTTATCAAGTTGAACAGGCACAGAAGCAAGACTCAGAATTGGTGGTGAGTCACAGACTGAACCACAGGGAGAACTGTTTAGGGAACAAATAATGGGTGGAGGTGAATCACGATGCTGTGTGAGGGGTTATTTAACCCAGATTTCTTTTCCATTCTATGCAGAAGCATTTAATTTTGCATAAAGTTGGAGGTGAGGTTTTATCTCTGAATGGCCATGCAGGACAAGGACACAGATTCCATTAGCCCCACATGAAAACATTGCCTGTGTTGAAAGTGCATGTGGAAAGAAGTCCTGATTTATCTTCACCTGGTCCTCTTTAAATGATTGGTTTTTTTTTTTTCTTTTACCTCCTTTTTTTGTTTTGATCAGTCCATTCTTAATCTAAGCCAGATAGATTCTTGGCCTTATCCAGCTCTTCCTTTCTTCTGTAAAAGTATTTTGCAAGGACGCTGGGTTCTGTGGCTGTTTGTGGAACTTTGGGCAGGAGGCTCGAGAAGGCAGGGCTCAGGTGAGCCACCCATGTGCAGAGGCTCCTTCCTTCTTCACACTCATCTCAGCCTTGGGGAAGGTGCATTTGCTTTGTCAGTGCTTGCTGTGTCACAGCATCCTCCAGGTGTCTGGTGCTGGTGGTAGAGGGACCTAGTAGGATGAATCTCCCACCTCACACCCATCAGAAAGTCTTCCCAAACCCCAACATTACCTCCTTCATCAGCTCCCATGCCCACACAGTGCTATTTAAACCCTCCAAACTGGCACCCAGAGCTGCCCCAACTGGTGGCGGCCGCCCTCCCCCGGAGGGCCTCTGGAACACATTTGTGCATCCTGCCTCTGCCTCTTGGCTGGGGCCATTCCTCCCATTGAAATAACCCCTTCTCAGTGTCCAGCTCCAGCGCCCCCTCCACTTGGAAGGTTTCTCTGACCATTCTAGCTAAAAGTGCTTACTCCTGGCCTACGTTCAGCACTTTCTGCAGAGGGTGACCACGTAATCTATTATTCATGACACTTTTGAGATGAAAGCGAATCTTACTAATATGCTGGGACATCAGGGGGATAAACCAGGACTGTTTTGGGGAAACCATTCAGGTGTCTACTTCATCTACCCCGATTGACTCTAAGCTCTTCAAGGGCAGAAACTATATCATATACTCCATAGTATTTGTTCTAACTCCAGCACAGGGCCTTGTACACAGAAGGCACTGATTAATGAACTAAACAAGAAAGAGGGTAAGTTGATGGGAGAAGGGTGGACAGATGATAGATGGATGGACGGATGGACAGATGGTTGGATGGATGGATGGATGGATGAGTTTATAACATACTTAACCTTTTCTCAGAGAATAAGCTAGTTACCTGAGTGACAACTGTATTCCTTATTTAAAAGCTCCCATACTTATCAGTTAAGGAAAAAAAAAAAACCCTCTCTCTTGTCTGAATTCCCTGAGTTGGCCTCAGTTCCTCCACCCAGCCCCCCAGTTAAATGTGTTTCTCAGCTTCCCTCTGTGGCCCCAGCTGGAGGGCAGACACACCCTGGCCTTCATTTCCATTTGGTTTATTGTGGATTACTCCAGGAGGCAAACAGTTTGCTTCCAGCAGAATGTCTTCCAATAAAGAAAGGAAAGATTCACCATCCAAGAAACAGCCTACTTGTTTGGACTAAACACTAATTGCACTTGCGTCCTAATGGTTCAGTCCAGTCCCAGAAAATCAGGACCTCCTTTCACTTCCAGCATTATCTTATCTCGGGTACATTTCTTAAACACCAGTAACTTTCTCAATGTCAGGAATGCTCATCAGTGTTTCTGTATTTTTCTAAAGCATAGTTTTCTCTTCTCCTCCCATCCCCTTTCCCCACCCCCATTTCAGAAACGAGAAGGAATCCTCCAGTCTCGGCAAATCCAAGAGGAAATAACTGGTAACACAGAGTATGTCAACACCATTGTTGCCAGCGATTCTGTAATGGAACACAGATGTTTCTCCGAAATTCATCCATTTGCTGATATTTAGTTTTCATTTATTGGGATTGCAGGAGGGATTAGACTTCAGCCAATGATTATAGTTTAGCCTTTTCCATGCATTCAAAACATGCCTCTCAATGCTTAAGGTACAAACTTGGGTGGGGAAGTGGGGAGAGGGAATTAGCAGTGATTGAAAAATTCTAATTTTGTGCCACTCCAGGAAAAAGTGTGCCCAAAAAAAGCCAACCCAGCATGAAATCGTCATGCCATAAACACTGGGTTGAATTTAAATTGTTAACCTTCAAAAGGACGTTTTTCTTCCTTTTTTGAATCGATTTATTTGGTCACGTGCCATGACCCAGAAAGCCTCTCTACCTTAGAGTTGTCTTTTGGTTTAGGGTGGTTTTTTTCCCCATTTATTTTTAGAAATTGGGATATTAGAACCTATCAAAAGTTTGCCCTGGGGAACAGGAGTTTTGTCCTCAAGCAGAAAAAAATGGATAGTGTGAGGTAAGTTTGTGATCACAAGAACTGAGCCCTGGCCCATGCAAAGCCAGGCAGTTAGCTTTCAGCACCCCTGCTCCCCAGACTTTTCTCTGAGGCCCCCTTCAACAAGAGCAGCGTAGTGCAAAGAGCAGAGGCTGCAAAGCCAACCCAACTTGAGTTCGAATCCAGGCTCTGCCACTTGCTCACCAGGTGAGTCCCTTAACCTCTCTGACCTCAGTTTCCCCACCCAGAGAGGTAGGGAGGATTTATTGTGGTCACAGTTGTGACTTCGTTCCTTTACCCTCTGAAGCTGCTGTTCCAGCTTTTCTCCAGCACAACTGACCCTTAACTCCCAAGCCCATCCAGTCTCTAGGAGGTTCCCGCCCTCTCCACAGCCATGGCTGCCACAGGAGTCCGGGGCACTGCCCATCTAGATCACATTGTGTACATGGCTTAACAAGGACTAAGGCGCATGGGCATTCCAGGCCAAGACTAGGGGCAAGAGATGTAGAGTGGCCTTTCCCAAGATGCCCTGTTTATGCCCGATGGAGACCCCATCAAGCAGCCTCTGTATACCTCAGAGGCCAGTCTTGGTAGCCAAAGGGTCAACTGATCTATAGGGCATACCTTGGCCTTGGTTCTGTGAGGGATGGGAGGAGCCAGGCCTGCTGGGAAAGGAGAATTCCTCACTGTCCCACTGCCCACCACCCCTCCCCCATGCTGGGCTTGCCTGTGCCCACTATTTCACCTCTGGGAAAGAAGACGACAGAGCAGAGAGGAGCATGGCCTGGGAGAAACTCCCAAACCAGGGAGTGTGAAGTTTCAGATTATTGAATAATCTCTCAGATGCATGTTATGCTTTCTATGGCCCCTTTCTCTGCCCCAAAGACATAAACATGGATGCAATGTCCTAATAATGACAACAGTACAATTTATGGGGCACTTTCCTATCTATTGATGTTCATAGTAAACACATGAAACCATGATTACACCCACTAAAACCCTACAGCCCAAGGGTGTGGAAGGAGACTGTGCCCTTGGTTTACCCAGCACTTAACTCCAAGTTCATTCTTCTTTCCAGTGCACTGCTTGCATGTGCTCACTTAGTGGGTGACAGGTGTGCAGATGGATAAACCAATATAATAATCATTATGAGAACCAAAAGTGTATTTGGAAAAAAGTGTTTTCAGCATTTACTACATACTAGGAATTATGCTGCAATATTTCTAGATATTAAATCATTTAATAATCACAACATCCGATTGAAGTATTTACCATAATTATCTTCATTTTAGAGATAAGAGACCTGGTGCCCAGAAAGGTTCATTAGCTTGCCCAAGGTCACTGTATGAGTTTGTTTTCACGCTGCTGATAAAGACATACCTGAAACTGGGAATGAAAAAGGGTTTAATTGGACTTACAGTTCCACGTGGCTGGAGAGGCCTCAGAATCATGACAGGAGGCAAAAGGCTCTTCTTACATGGTGGTGGCAAGAGAAAATGAGGAAGAAGCAAAAGAGGAAACCCTGATAAACCCATCAGATCTCATGAGAATTATTCATTATCACAAGAATAGCATGGGAAAGATCAGTTTCAGTTAGTCTTTTCATGATTCAATTACTTCCCCCTAGGTCCCTCACAACACGTGGGAATTCTGGGAGATACAGTTCAGGTTGAGATTTGGGTAGGGACACAGCCAAACCGTATCAGTCACACAGCAAAAAAATCACTCAATCACTCGGTGCAATTTGAACCTCAGTGATCTGTCTTTAAAGCTTGTGCTCTTGATACTATGCTGCTTCTCTGCTATGAGTGTGGTTCCAGTTCCTGCACTCTTTGAGAAAACCTACCCTGGGTCAATGGCAGGTGCATCTTGGTGGGTACTACAGGATGGACAGGAGAGAGACAAAGCTGACCTGCCCACAGCAACCTAGGCAGTAAAATTCTACATTGAGGGGTTGCCTGAGCTCACTCATAAGAATCCTAAGATTTTCTGGTTGGAAATCTTCAGCCCCCTGAGTCCGACATTCTTTAACTACAAGCAATAATATGATTTTATTTAAGGCAAAAAGTAATCCTTTGGGCATCACTGTGCCAGATTTTGCATTACACCACTATGTCCGTGTAACAGGGGGAAAAAATGGGTGGTAATGTGGTAAAGTCTCAATAATTGGAGGCTGTGCAGAATAAAATGTCAATGGAAGGAGGCTTTTTGAGTTCCTCAACCAAGGGCAGGTGGGTGGCAGGCAGCATGGGGTGGGCTTCCAGCAATGATGGAGTGTCCCTTCAGAGGATTGGCCTCTTGTAAGGGACAAGAAAAGAGTCACACTATTTTCTTTCTGTTTTTCCTCCAGGGCTCTTTCTGGGAGGCATGGTAAGTCGCATAAGAATGTCCCCTGGCACTGGTGGCTGCATTGGGGCTTTAGTTAATTCTGCAGCAGCTGGGAAGAACAGGCCCTCAGCTTGCCACCTGGATATATGTCTGCACCAGCCTGGCTGACATAGCCAGTTGGGTTGGGAGGGACAGCTTACTGGTGGGAAGAAGACTACCTACACCTGCGCAGTCATCTTGAAATTTATCAGGCCATTGACCTTGCCATTTATGAAGCACTTTTGTAGCTATTGTTGTTCACAGTAAACATATGAAGCCACGATTATACCCCCTGAGACCCCACAGCCCAAGGGTGAGGGAGGAGATTATGATCTTGGTTTATCCAGCACTTAACTCCAAGTTTATTATTCTTTCCAGTACACTACTTGCAAGTGCTTATTTAGTGAATGATAGGTGTGCAGATGGATAAACCAATATAATAATCATAAAGAGAACCAAAAGTGTCCTCCGAAAAAAAATGTTTTGAGCATTTACTATGTCCTAGGAAGTATACTAAAGTATTTCTAGATATTAAGTCATCTAATGCTTATAACATCCCACTGAAATATTTACTGTAATTATCCTCATTTTAGAGATGAGAGACCTGGAGCCCAGAAAGATTCATTAGCTTGCCCGAGGCTTCTGGATGGGTCCTGGGCATTTTCAGGGCAGGTTTGCACTAATTATCTCATGCAAATAAAGGAAGACATGCACGAACACAGGGACTGTCCCCTCTCACCACTCTGTCCTTCTAGAGACTGTCTTCTCTTCCTTCCCTCATCGCAGCTCCTAACATAGAGGCTGCAGCAAGGAGAATCCCTGCAGGGAGCATGGCTTTGCTATTTTCTATGATCCTGATATTTACTGTGGGTAATATTTTGAAATATTTCAACCATGCTAAAAATTATTCCCTTCAGGAGACCATGTCGGAGTTTACAGAGCACGCGCATGCTTGTTCTCACCCTTCATCCTCATGACAAACCTAAGGGAGGGTTATTTTTAAAATAACATTCTATAGAAGAGGAAACTAAGGCACAAAGAGTTGAAGTGGCCTAGATCACTTAAGAGGAAGAGCTCATACCCCATCCTGGAGCTCCCTGGCTCCCAGCCCTCTTCTCTGTGCCCTCTGCCAGCTTGTTTGTCATGGGTCTCCTGTTTTTGAAAATTGGGGGGTGAAATGATTTAATATTTGGATAACATTCCCCCTCTACTGAGGTTCAGAAACACCTGAACAATAGCTGAATCAGGATATAATGGAATACAGTGAAGGGAAATGACTAATCCGGGGTCACACTGCCTAAGAGAACCCTGAGTCTGCCCCAACCCAATAATGTACATGTGCATGGACACAGACACAGGCTCCCAGGGTGAGAATCCCCCCAAATCTTAGTCCCAAATCACATTCCAGAGTTCCCAGCAGTCTGTACCCCAGAGGCTTCCCATCAGTCGTTGACCTTGTGACCTTGAGAGGCCTGTGGCTCTGGGGCCCGAGGTGGGCTTCCCTGCCAGGAACCGGCTCTTGGGCTCCATGTTATGTTTCCCTCTTTTTCAGAACGTGATGCCTTTGACACCTTGTTCGACCACGCCCCAGACAAGCTGAATGTGGTGAAAAAGGTGGGAAAGGGGTGTCTAGGACAGAGAGAGGGAAGCGAGATGCAGCAGGACATTGGGAAAACCCATCCCTGCAGCTCGGGAGCTTCCTGCTGGAACTGATGGCATCACCTAATCTCTGCACACACACGGCTTTCCCCCTTGTCATCCATGTACCTGTCTGTTCCTTACTGAATGTTGCACCCGGGCTTTTTCCTCTCCATCAGCATGAGCAGCCTGTCTTCCCACCCAGGCTAACCCCAGCAATCCCAGTCTTCCCCGCTCCTCACAGAATTCCCTGTCTCCCTGGCCTAGGCACGTGTGCTGAAGAAAGGACGGGATGGAGAGACCCAGTGGAATCTTTTTATCTCAGTTCCCCACTCAGACACTCCACGTGTCATTCTGCCTCTTGGGACCTCCTTGTTCCTTACACACCCTGAGTTGTATGGGACTGCAAGACCTAGAGCCTGTGGCCCTCCCTGTGCACTCAAGGGCCTTTGCAGAGAGACCTTCTGGGCCCGGGGCTCTTGGCTGGGCCTGATCCTGTGCTTTCACCCCCACCCTCGCCCTCGCCCTCGCCCTCACCCTCACCCTCATGGGAGTCATGGGGCAGCCGCGGGCTCCTGTACTAGTGCAAATCCCCAGCTCTGGGCCTGCTTTGCTTCTCTTTTAGACACTCATCACTTTCGTGAACAAGCACCTGAATAAACTGAACCTGGAGGTCACAGAACTGGAAACCCAGGTGGGTGACAGACCCTAGCACAGGTGGAGGCAGGGCCCTGCCCTACAGCCCCTGTTCCAAGTGGTCCACCACACATGGCCAGGAGGGCTTTCCCAGCTGAGGGGAGTGAGGGCATGGGGATCTGTCCTACTCTGAGGGGTGGACTGAATCTCTGCGGATTTTTTTCCAAATTTTTATGGTGAAAAGTTACAAGAATGCATACTCATATACCCTTCACCTGGATGCACCGATTATTAGTATTTGGCCACACCTTTCTCTGCACCCCTAAATGCTTGAGCATACGTCTCTAAAGAACAAGCACATTCTCTTAGATCGCCACAATATGGTTATCAAAGACAGGCCGTTTTAACATAATACATTAATCTGTTTAGATTGAATCATATGAAATTGCTGACATTCGACTTTTTTTTGTTTTCTGTTTTGTTTTGTTTTGTTTTTTGAGATAGAGTTTTACTCTTGTTGCCCAGGCTGGAGTGCAGTGGCAAGATCTTGGCTCACTGCAACCTCTGCCTCCCAGGTTCAAGCGATTCTCCTGCCTCAGCCTCCCAAGTAGCTGGGATTACAGGCATGTGCCACCATGCCCGGCTAATTTTTTGTATTCAGTAGAGACGAGATTTCACCGTGTTGGTCAGGCTGGTCTCGAACTCCTGACCTCAGGTGATCCACCCACCTTGGCCTCCCCAAGTGCCGGGATTATCGGCATGAGCCATCACGCCCAGCCGTTGCCATTTTAACCTACTAAAATGGCAACGTCATGTGGTTGGAAAAAACACTGTTCAGATTTTGCCGCTTGTCCAGTTTGCTCACATGCTGCATTTACTTGTCATGTCTCTTTAGTGTCTTTTTAACATAGAACAACTCCTTGGCCTTTCTTGGCGTGGCATTGACACTTTTTGAAGCGTTCAGGCCGGCTGGTTTATAGACTGTCTTTTCCCTGCGTATTAGATTCAGGTCATCATTTTCATCAACAGCACTCCCCATGTAAGGCTTTGTTCTTCCTGCGTCATCCCAGGAGGAGGCACTCTGTCCTTTAGCCCCACTGCTAGTGATAACTTGGATTATTTGGTTAGGGTGGTATTCACCGGATTTCCCTATTATAAAGTTATTTTTCCCCTCTTTATACTTAACTAATCTTTATTGGGGAGATACTTTGAGCGAGATGAATCCTGTTTCCCCACCTCCTTTCATTCTTGGTGAGCTTCTGCCTTGTGCTTCTCTTTCAATCGTCTGGGTACCTCCTTTTATTTTAAAGGCAAATTCCAGTCTGTCGCTGAGCTCCACCTGAGTGTGTCTAGACTGTGTGAAATGAGCTTCATGTACTCTTGTAGGAAGTAAGGAACGTTCTGGAAAAGTGACGCTTCCTTTAGTGAGCTAGAATGGACCCTGGAATGATTAGCTCGTTTTTCAAGGGCGGGGAGTGCTATGACAGAGGTCACTGCCAAGCACTTTGGGTTTCTGCAGTTTTATCTGCTATTCCTACCAAGTTAGTGGAACCAGCCATAGGAGGTGAGGAGCAATCTAAGCCTGGCATTCAGAGCTGTGAATGACCCCAACCCTAACCCAAGGTCACCCCTGAGCTCACAGATTGGATTCTTTTACTCCTAACTCCTCCTCACCACAGCTCGAATAAAAAAAAAACAGGGCCAGATACTAATAGAGATCATGAAGAATCAGACAGAAAAAAATCAAACAGCCCGCAACTCAGCATCCCCAAGTGCCCTGCGATTGACAGGCCATGAGCCACCGACACTTGGCCAGGAGCTGCCTTTAAGGCAAGCCCAGGCTCAGGGGTCTTATGCCCTTAATGAAGGCTGAGCACACGGCCGGCCCAGCTGGCTACCTGGAAGCTCTCTGAGCAGACTCTGGGCTCCTAAGGTGATTCCAAGAAATTTGGCCTCTGTGAACCTAGGTAACTATTTACACTTCATAAACATTTGGTGGCCCAGCCCTCCTTGAAAGGGTTCTAGAATGTCGGCTGTGCATCTGACCTCTATGTCTTTGCTAGGCCATCCCCACACCTGGAACCACTGCTTCTCTCAAAGGTCCATCATCCCTGGCCTCCATGGCCTCCACAAGCCTGTCTTGAGTGCTCAGCATATGCCCTCACCTCACCACCTGAGCAGCACGACCAGCAGCCTCCACACTTTAGCCGAGGCACTCTCCTGTCCTTGGGCCTGGTTTCCAACCATTCTGGCCTCTTCTGCCTAGGAAGGGACCGGGCTGCAAGCCTCTTGCCAGGGCCCTCAGCACATACGTTCTGCTTTTCCAGAAAGAGCAGTAAGTCATGTCCGACTGCTTTGTTGTTTTCCCAGACAGTAATGCAATATGATATATTATTCAATGCTACATGGCCCAAGCAGTTTTCGGCCCTCTCTGCATATGGAACTGCTTAGTCCCTCACGATACTCCTCGCTGACCCGTAGACTCACTAC